ATCTATTAAACCCAAATGATATTACTCAATAACACTATCACATTTGTATTTTATATAGCTACTACATCCCACTGCAATTTACAATGCTACTAGTTAGTTAATCATTGCAAAAAATAGAGAAACTACAAAGAACCACAATTCATAAACCAATCTATAACTCTCCAAATAGAATTTTCTTCCTTATACTTTACACTTCAAAAGAGCAGTATATGATCTTGGATGTGAATCCTACTCCTTCTATATTTGTAATATTTCTCATTTAGTACCACCAGCAAACTCAGAAAGTTTGGTCCTTTCTTGAAGACAATTTTTGTTAAAACAATTTTCAGATCAAACCCATATTACAACATGTATGTTGATGTTTCAAACTTCTTGCTGATGCAAAGAAAAAGGAAGTTTAGCCAATGGAGTTTCTATCCCACCAGCATAGCTGCTACTGGAAACATTGCTCCCACACACCCCACAGATCCCAATCTAATTTTTCACGCTCCAATATTCCGTCTCATGTGTAGTTTGATCTGCTCAGTCCCAGAATGTTCATCTCTGATATTAAGTGAACATTATGAGATATTTCCTCCTCTATTTGCAGGAAATCTCAGTTTGCCTAACAAAAATTTAGAACCAAATGTCACCCTCCCCACTTCTCACTGGTATAGAGAGACATGTGATATAAAGTGGCTGTTATCCTATGATGCAGTGTAACTTAACAATTTCATATACAGAACTACGCTGCATTGTCCTGTCCACACCCCATAGACTCACTGTTTAGCTCAGGCATTGGCAAACTTCAGCCCCCTGGGTGTTTTGGACTTCAACTCCCACAATTCCTAACAGCCGGTAAGCTGTTAGGCTGGGATTTCTGGGAGTTGAAGTCCAAAACACTTGGAGGGCTGAAGTTTGCCCATGCCGGGTTTAGCTGATACAACTCTCACAGCCAGGTTTGTGAAGAGCACTGGGGATTAGAAAAGTGTCTCCATAACCAAATACAGAATGACTGCATAATACATCAAGATCCAACAAAGTCCTGTGGAGGTCTCATCAGATGATGCAATCATTCTGTGTATAGCTATAGGGACACATACAGATGCTTCTACAATTCCCATCATTCTCCATAAGTCACAGAATGGTTGGGGGTTCAAACAATGAACAGTGATTGCTTTGATTGTTGTAGAAAGTGGAAGAGTGTACATAAACAAGGTACTACACAAATAAGCCACTAACAGAAGAGAACCCATGTTGTATGTACAGTCATTACTCTGTGTCATTGGGGTATACCATGGCAAGGTCTTCCATTACTGTTTAATTTCTTTTCAAATCTGTGTGGGTGTGACACAAATCGCATCATGACTATGGTGATGGCAACTCTCTTGTTGCAACAGCTTGACTAGCTTTCAGTCTGTTTCAGGAATAATTCAATGTTGTTCAGTGATATAGATCAGGTCATGGTTTATACATTCAGCACACAATAACTGAATGTACATCAGTTGTTCGAAGCCATTTATAGGCAGTGCTTACATGCACACCAAATCTGCAACACCCATTTACCCCTCACCCTAAAGATTCTGTGGAAACAGCTGAATAGGACTACTGTTATATGGGAAATGTTTAACCTTCTGTACTACAGCAACATTGGCCATATATAGTGCTACTGATTACATCTCATAGTTTCAACTGATAAGAGAAACTAGAGAGAAACTACTTATAGACTTCCAACTCTTCAACTAATTTGACTAGGGAAACACCAAATGGAACTTTATATCTTCTGCAGCTTAATTGACTGAAGTTACCTAAACCACACAAAATGAGTCTTCAGTTTTAGGCAGAGATATGCCAGTAACGATTTGAAAGCAGATATCTTAACATCAGAATGGCTTTAATTATATCTGTTCCACATTTTAGCTCCCTAGATATTCCCCAAATAAAACAGGAAAAGTTAGGACATCCCTCCTCCTCACTTTTTTGTGATGCTACCTTAGATGTTGACCTGGAAATACTTTAAAATATGGCCTGCACGAGTCTACCCTTCCTTTTTTTCAGTGGAGTAAGATAAAATGCTTTGTGAGTACTCAGCCGAGTTTAGATCAGGTATAGGCAAACTAAGGCCCGTGGGCCGGATGTTGCCCCCTGAGTACTTACCTCACTGCCTCCTCATTTTCCCTATTCTCTTGCAAAGGACACAGCGGCCTGCCATGTCCTTATGCCAAACAGATGGGGTATGAAGGCACATAGAAGCTGAGAGCCCTCTGGAGTGCTCTCAGCCACTGTGTGTCTCACCCTCCTCCCACCATAAGGATGGTACAAGCAGTCCCATCCTTATGCCAGGAGGATGGCTCAAGGAAGGCATATGGCAGCTGAAAGCCCTCTAGAGCACTCAGCCACCACCTGCCTCGCCCTCCTCCTAGCATACTGCCAAGAGGATAGCCCAAGGATCAGCAGATGAGGGGCAATTGCTTGGTGTCCTACTTTTCTCCTGGCATAAGGAGCAGCCCTGTCTTTATGCTGAGAGGACAACCTGAGGATGACCTGGGCCCTGCCCTGCCCTGCCCCCTCCTGGCCCTACCCTCTCCCAGGTCTGGGTCATCCCCACTTAATATGTGCCCACCCCCTTGGTTTGGCCCTCCCAGCAGAGCTCACAATGCTGCCCCTAGGCAAAACAATTTGCCCATGCCTGGTTTAGATGCCACACAAGCTCAGTTTCAAGATTATACATAACCAGGAAATACTCTACTAAGTTTGATATCCCAACAGTGTAGAAAAAAAGAGATTGAGAAAAGAACTGGGTTGTTTCTGTGTTAAACCTCGATGCATTAAAACTTATTCTCTTCTGTATTTCATATTGCCATAATTTTTATTCATATTTCCCATTTTGAATATCCTAATAAGACAACAAAATTCCATTCCTTTGGGTAGAAAAAGTAACAGTGTTTGTCCACTGCAGGTTTCCTGCATAAATCTCTCCACACCCTTACAGATGTTCATATCTTTGAACAGATCTGTTTCCCTTGAGGGTCAGCCAAACCATTAAGAATCTACATTTTAAGGTGGGAACTGCTGCCTAGCATCTGGTAGTAGAATGCAATCTATATCTTCAAAATCTGTTTCAAGCTTCTTTCATTTTTTCCAAAGCCACTCCTCAACTTCCTCCACAGCATAGGAACATTTTCTTCCAAATAGGTCCTCAGAGACAAAAAAGCACCTGCACTTCTGCCTCCAATTTTTACACAGCATGTGCTCTATACCATGTTTACTAGAAAGAAAGATCTACAGCAGGGCTGCTGCTGTCAGTGTGCATTAGGGAAAGGAAGGAGAACAGGAAGGGACAATGAGGTTTTTAGTTTGTTACTTATTAAGATCAGCCTACCAAGCAACATGGAGTTGGAAATGTCAATCAATATGGGTTGTCAGAGAATGGAGGCAGATCAAAACCCTTGGTAGTCCTATGCAATGCTGGGCTATAGGTCTATACAGTGCTTCTTGTGTTTGCCTTCAATATTAATTCTTCCACCCAACAGCAGCCTCTATACTCCTAGCATCTATGACCTAGTGTTAAGGATTAGGTTAGGGTTAGTAAGAGCGGAGAATACATTGAACCATGTACTGAATGGTCTGAATCTCTGTTTTAACACCAGACAGAAGGGGAAAGGTGAATATGATCCCTAGGCTACTTCTTGTAATACTTAAGCCATTCGCAAGGTGGGAAGCCACAGGTCATTCAGATATTACTGGCATCATCCCTGACCACTGGCCATGCTGGCTGGAGCAGATGACAACTGCAGTTTAAAAATATCTTTAGGAGAAAAGGCTTCCCAGTTCTGGTTAACTGTCATGTCTGAATGATTTCAGTTGCAAAGCGAAATGGCAGAATCCAGGTAAAGGTTTATTATCTTGTATGATGATAGCAAGAAACAAGCCACATATTGGACTGTGAGGAAAACTGGTAAAATAATTGTTTGCAACAATAATGTCAGATTCGATCCAAGGTTGCCACAACACATTTTATTTCTCAAGGTAGATCAGAACGTACCTCTAACCCTACCTTCCCCTATATTACATACATGATAATAAATGTGCAATGTTCCTTTTCCACTCCTTTAAGGAGACCACCCTTTTTGCTCTTGGTAGATCCTGGCCCTAGGTTCCTGAAACCATGGCTATTGTTGGATTATCATATCTAAACTACATTGTTCAGGTTTCTATAAAGATTATCAACTTCTATTAGAATATTTGCATAGTTATATAGAAGCACACTATCCTCATATAGATTCACATTTATGGAAATTAGTTTTTTCCTGGTAATCCTCCCCGCCCCACCGCATCAATTATAAGTTTCTGCATACTAAACTTTCTACATGTTTGTATCCTGAGTATTTCATTAATTTTCTCATTCATTTCCCCCTTTTAAAATTAGGCTCTAAGCAAACCAAAGTATGCTGACTCATGTTTTTCAAGAAATCATTTGCATTTTAGTTTTTGAAAAGATATAAACATGAAAATATTCAAAAAATATCTTCTATAATATTTTTCTTTTTTTCTACAACTTTATTGCAACATAGTACAAAAGAATTTCCAAATTACTAATAAGTGAACCTTGTAACAGTTCAAATCACTTGCCACTGACAATGTAAATGCACCTCCACACAATTTTTGACTTCCATGAACATTATCACCACAACTCAAGCCACAATTGTTCTGTGGTTGAAAGAACTGCAGATTCAATAGAAAAAATGTGGGGAAAATTAAACAAGTAGAGTTCTCCAAATGTTACACACATCTGTTTCCAAATTAAGCTTTCAATTCCCAGGCATGAGCCCCAACAGCACTACGCGTAAGCTGAAACTTGCTGAACTTTTCACAGAAAGCCCAAGCAGGGGGGCTGCAAACTCCAAACTCCTGATATTCTGCCCTACATTTTATAATGACAACAATAGAATGTTAGATTAAATCATTCAGCTCAGCACCCTGTCAGGCATACAATGTATAGCATTTTTTTCTGTTCTTACCCTTGGTGTGCACAGAAAGCAGCATGAGCAAGGAAATCTGAAGCTGCCAGTTTGGTTCCTCTAGCCAGTTCATTGCAGCAGTAAGCAGCAAGCAGCTGCCTCCCTGATTTGCTTGTGGCTTTAAAATCTCCTGTTTCGTTCCCCTTCCTTATTTCACTTGGAGCTTATTTGTTCCCGCCTCTCAGATCCCTGGATGCGTCTTGCCTGGAAAGCCTGGAGAAGAGAAGGTGAAAGACAAGCCGGTTACAAACTGGTGCTGTCACCACAGAGTCTTCAACTGCTCACCCTCGTGGGGAGGACAACAAAAGGGCAGTGAGAGATTCCCAAGCTGGACTGGATTCCCGAGACAGGAGCATGGAGCGATTGCTGCTCACACAGGGGATTTGTGTAAACTTAGAAGTTACAGCTAGAAAAGAAACTGGCAAGCCCACTCTGATTACTCCCTGCCTTAGAAAACCCTATAAAAATCATGGGGTTGCTAGAAGTCAACAGACAATTTGAAAACACACACACAGCCAGGGAGAGAAAGACTGAGAGTAAAATATTCCGGTTTTCCTCTTCTCTTTCACACACGAGCAGAAAACAATGCCACGAGACTCTGATGGATTTAACTGGATACACATTTTTTAAAATCTGACCAGTATTATCATGAACACAAATGTGCCTCTGCCTCCATAAGTGCAATTTCTTAAATTTGAATAAATTTTCAGCTTACAGATGAACAGAATGTTGTTCAGCTTCAAGATTATAAAATTATATTATGGCACTGTTTGTTTCTTTAAAAAGTTTATTTTGTTTTCCATTTTAGCCTATTCCAATGATGCAGGTCAGGGAATAGGCACTCATAACTATATATTGGGTCCTTGATATCTGCTGGGAATTAGTTCCAGAACTTCACAATAGATACCAAAATCCAAGGATGCTCAAGTCTCATTATACAGTATATACAATTACTCCCGAAGTTTCAAGCAAGATAGATTCTGTAGGTTTGTTCTTAAGTTGAATGTGTATGTAAATCGGAAGAGGTACATTTTAAGGTGTAATTCCAGTCACACACGCGCACACACATACACACCCTTTGGAAGGGTTAGCATCCCATGTTGTTTGCTTTGCTGTCTGTGGCCCTGTTCAGAAGATTTCAACTCACTTTTTCTCCCTGTAATAATTGGCGTTTGCAAAATTTGGCATGTTGTGGAAACAAGGATTGATGACAAAACTTCAGTGGAGAAACTTTTTTCCCATGATAATAACTCTTCCAGTAGTGAATTTCCCTTCCTGGGATTTCTCTCACTTCTGGTTGTCTCACTACTGTTCTTAACTGTAAGTTGCTTGTAAGTCAGATGTTTGTAACTCGGGGACTGCCTGTAATTGTGTAGTAAAACACTGTCCCTTACATGGGGACTTGCTTGGGGGGTTTCTTTAAAAAATTCAAGCCATGGATGGTGGAATTTGTGATTGTAGAATCTGTGAATATGGCTGATTGCAAATCTTTGTTCACTTGTGTACTCTGAATAGCATTTTACTTCATAATTAATTGGCTACATCAACATGTGGTCTTTCAAATACATTAACAAGTGATAAATCATGTTTCATTTCATTTAACATAGATATGAGTCAATTTCCTCAAATTCAATTCAAATTGTTCTTGCCTAAACATACGTTTATCCATTGTAGTCAATCTTCAACTTGCTCAGTCTGATATTGGGGGGTTCATAAGGTGGTGTCATGGGACAAAACTGGACCTGAATGACTTTCTATCTGTCCTTGGGAATAGGACAAGGCCTGAAAGTCTAGCCTTCTCCTCTGCAAACCATCTTGCTTTTTTCTATACTTCTCTGGGATTCTGATGACTTTGCCTTTATTGTATTTTCTAGTGAATCTTGCTCTGTATTAAGATTTCTTAAACTTTAATAAATGTATACTGTTGCATACTCTCCACCTGTCCCAAATTTCGCAGTGACAGTCCTCATTAATCCTTTGTAATCTCATTTTCAGCTGTTTTTAAAGTGTCTCAGTTTCTCTCTCCCACTTTCCCTTTTCTCCTCAATTTGCTGTGGTTGCTGCAAAAGAAATTTGTATTTATGAAAAAATCCTCAAAACCACCAAATTCTAGAAAAAAATTATAGTTTTAACTACTGAGGAACACTGTGTGTATGTGTGTGTTTGTGTGTGTGTGTGTGTGTGGAAATGTAAACATGTTAAAATAAAACAATGCCCCCCCCCCATGTTACCCTTTCCAAATATTACCTTCATTGGGTCACTTAGAGAGGATAGTGTCCTACTAGGGAAAGCCAAGAGATCACAGCATGCACAGTGCTCTGTTTGTTGGATGAGTTGATGTTGTGTCTTTGCTATAGAGTACTCTTCTTGCACAAAGTACAGTAGAAAATGGCAATCTAGTGGAACTATCCTTGGATTTTGGCCAAAGTAATCAAAACTCGTTTAAAATTCTACAGCAAAACACAATAGTTAGTTTCAAGAAAAGAATGAATTTGCGACACCATGAAGTGCCAAAATTGTTGTCCTCTGGTATAATCCCTCTGCTACTATAATTTTGCCATTTTGTTGTCATAAACCTATCTGTTCAGTCCAAACATTTATGGAATCCTGGCAGACTAAGCTGCCATAAAATTCTGTAGTGTGTGACAAGTGTCCTTAAGCAAATGTAGAAAAAATAAAATGAATGCAAGGAATCATTGGGAGGTGGACTGAAATACTGCAAGGTTCTTATTGTTAATATTGTATTGTCTTTATAGAAATCCGTGATACAAATGTATTTCGAATAATGTGAAGCATTTAATATTACATAATTACAGCACTATAATTCTTCTTTACCTATCATGGCTCCATTGAGGGAATCCAATAAGCCAAATTTTAGGGAGAAGTGCTTAGAATTCTCAGCCAGAGAGTTCTAGTGCCTCATCAAACCATAAGATTTCATAGGATGTTTCCAAGGAAGTTAAAGGAGAATCACAGCATTATAGTTATACATTTGTAGGCTTAACTTTTACAGATTTGATTATTTCTGTGTTTGAGTAAAATGTTTTCTCTAAATTCTCCAGCATGACTCTATGGCCAACTTCCACCATAAGTTGGCTGTAGAGTGGTGTTGGAGGGCTTTCACGGGAATTAGGGGCACAGGATCTCCACAAAAAAGTAAAAATAGTAAATAAAACCTAATTTTTAAAATCTCAGACAACACTTCACCAGGCATTAGAAGGTCCTCCAATATGACTCCCGTGTCTCTAATGCCAATGAAAGTGGAAAAACTCCTGTATAGCATAAATGGGCCCTGGACATGGTACTGAAAAGGAATACTATAGAACTTGGAAAAGAACCAAGTGGGGAAATACAATTGTCAAGCAGCTGGGAAACTCCCATATGAGGAAAAGTAGCAAATGAAGGAACTCTTCAATGTATACAATGAGTTATGTGCAGATATCTGATAGCATTACACATAATATAGAACAGAACTAGGGATGACGTCAAACTGCAACAACAACATAAGCCAGCTCAGTCAACAGGAAGAGATGATGGGAGTTACAATGCGTTAAACATTCCTGGGACTGAAAAAAACCTAAACTTTTCTTCTCTCTCAGATAATACAGAACAGAAAAGGACCAAAGAGCATTCTTCCTTCTATAAAACATAGGTAAATGACAGAATTTACTGCCACAAAATGTGATGTCACTTATTTAAATAGTCTTAACAGAGTGATTACAACAATTCAGACAGACCAAGTTTATCAGTGACTAGTCATGATAATTTTATCTTATCTCCTCTATCAAAGCCAGCATATCTGTGGACACTGCTTGCTGGGGAACAATAGTAAGTGATTGTAAAGTAATGAGGTAACTCTTAATTGCGAAAAAAGACGTGTGAGTAGAAAGGGCTTCGAATTCAGCAGCCATCTTCTTATAGTCAGATCACCAAGAAATAAAAACATTCTTAATTGGCTAAATAGATGAGGAAAATGCATGACATTGTCTCTATAACATTTCAAACTCCTTTAATATCTAAATTACTTCATTAATATCTACAATGGACATGAACAGCAGTTTGGACGTTGGTTTTAATAAATCTGTTTCAGATATACTGAACATTCATTCAACATAGAGAACTCCTCCTGTGTTCAACAGAACTTGTGTCTGCTGACAAGTTAGCCCAGGCATGGGCAAACTTTTTTGCCTTAGGGCCTCATTGTGGCCTGACAGAGAAGGCCAGGCCGGGAGGAAGGATGGCTAGGCACACACTGGGTGGGACAGGCCTGGGAGGGAGAGGGCCTGTGAGAGGGTGCAGTCAGGAGGGGGCGAGGCAGGGCCTGGGTCATCCTCAGGTTGTCCTCCTGGCAGAAGGATGGATCTTCTCACCCCATCCTTATTCCAGGAGGAGGAAAATGAGAGATGTGGTGACTGCTCTTATACTCCTCCCCAATCCTCCTCACCAGATCTTCTGGCTGTCTTTTCTGCATTATACTGGGAGAAGGGTGAGACAGGTGACAGCCAAGAGCACTCCGGAGGATTCCCAGCTGCTCTGTACCTTCATTGGGCCATCCCCTTGGCATAAGGACAGGGCTGTTCACACCATCCTTATGCTAGAAGGAGGGTGAGACATGCCATGGCTGAGAGCACTCTTGAGGCTTCTCAGTTGCTGCATGCCTTCCTCCCTCATCCTTTCTGCCTAATGATGTGGTGGGCCACCATGTCCTCATGCTGAGAGGACAGGGAAAATGAGGAGGTAAGAGCCCAGGGGGTCACATCTGGCCCCCAGGCCTTGGTTTGCCCATGCCTAAATTAACTCTCTCCTATGCAGTTTTATGAACACTGAGAGGCAGTGATTTGAGCACTGGACTACGGGTCTGGAGACCAGAGTTCAAATCCCCACTTGGCCATAGAAACAACTGGGTGCCCTAGGCAAGTCATACTCTCAGCTTCAGAAGAAGGCAATGACAATTTCACCCTGACAAAAATCTTCCTAAAAAAAAACTAGTGATAAGCCTGGCTTAGGATTGCAATCAATCAAAATGACTTGAAGCCACACAAGAAGAACCTATGAACTTTCATTACAAGGTATGTTCCATTATGTTCAGTGGTGATTTAATCTCCATTTGAAGCTTTGTACCTTGCTTTCTCTGGCTTCAAGACATTTCTAAGTAAAGACAGCCCTAAGGTGAACCTATCATGGTACTTTTCCTGGCAGAATTTGTTCAGAGG